TGTAAAAAATAATAATTAATGAATTAATTAAAAGAAGGAAAAAAATAAATTATAACAAACACGATTATTTCTTAAGGTTAACACGAAATATATTAAACGACGACATACATACAATAATTTAATTTTATTTAAAGAAAACGATACATAAAAAAAATAATATTTCAATATTTTTTGATGGCATGATTTAATATTTTCGAATTCGTAATGCATTGCACTATTTTTTGATGGCATGATTTAATATTTTCGTTGTTGTAGTGTTTTTATTAATTGTACTATATTTTTTTATATTTATTAATGAATTTCATATTTTTTGTAATTTAACGTAATTATTTAGTTAGTAATTTATGTATTAATAAAATAATTAAATAAATAATATTTCAGATAAATAGATTACTAAGAATAAAAAAAAGAGGAAGAAAATGGTTAAACACTGTTTATTTGGTGTAAGTTTTGGTGCAATGGTTGGAGATGAATTTTAGTTTGGTGCAAAATTTGATGTAAAATGGTGTAAATTTTGTTGCAGCGCTGGAGATGGCCTGAGATAATGAAATGAAATTAGGATTTCAATTTTTCAACCATAAATATATAATAAATCTCCAACATGTGATCTCATCGTGATCCAAGGGCATATATTCTCTCATATAATCTCACTTTACATGAGTAACACTTTATTAAAAATGTTAACGGTTGAAATGACCATTTTTTATTCTCTGGTAGGGTTAATGTCTGGTTCGTTATACGATGTTCGGGTTTGTAATTTTTTCTTTGGATTACAATTTTCATGCATTTTGGATGAATTACTTAAGGTGAAGAGAGGTCCATGCAGGTTGGTTTCTATACCATGGGCTATAATGCCAAACTTGATTCCATCAAAGCGCTTTTGGTCAACCAGTGATTAATCACAAGTAAGAGGGTGGTGTGGCATTTTGAAAGGAAATGCATAGCAATCATATTGGTAAATAGTCTAAAGAGCACTGCTCCACCACCAGGGCTGGCCCTGGCCCAAGGTAAGTGAGGCCACTGCCTTGGGCTCATATTTTAAGGGGCCTCTAGCCCAAAACTGTCACTCTCTTCAAAAAGAAGAAGAAGAAGAAGAAGAAAAATTTGGGCACATAAAAGAGGCAAATGAACTGCCTTTCTCCAATTTCATTCCAATCGTATTCTCCACAGACCACACTCCAATCCGAAATTAATCCCTAAAAACTACTACTCTACTAGTCTACCATTGCAAAAGTTCCGGTGAAATCCGCAAGTTGGGCCCCTTTGGTGCTTTCACACAGACAGTTTGCAAATGGCAATACCCTTGAAGCTGATATAAGGTCTTGCAAATCCGCAGGTTGGTTTTCATGTATTTTAACAAACTACAAAGCCTTGAAAATATTTCCATGATTTTCTTTTTTATCGGGGCTTTATGTTTAGAACTTCCACGATCTCTTATTATTTGTCGTGCCTGTGTGATTTCTCCAGTAATTAAATCATATTTATGCCAGCAGCCAGGTGGTATTGACTCATGGACCAGAGAACGTTAAACCACAAGTTAAAAAGACTGACGAAATTGGGAAAATTTTGCTTTGAGGTGTATACATCCAATTTTCATAATTTCATTGTTTCTGGAATATTTTCCTTGTGGCTTTAGACTTCTGAATCAAATGATACTTGTCATATCATTATCAAGTTATATGCGTAATCCTAATTTTTTAGCTGTGCTGCTGTGCAACATGAATGCCGCAATAATTTTTGCACCACTGGCAACGTCCTTTAAAAATGAGATCAAATCTGAAATCCAACCCCTTCTAATTAGAAGCTTGATCATTTCATGCATTCAATTAGAAGCACTGGAAAAGTCTGGACAATGAGGCACACATATGTATGTAATAATCCAGACCATTATTCTTAAAGAAACAAAATCCAAGCACAAATAGGAGAAATGGTCTGATCAGTAATTATTGTCTGTATTAGCTCAAATACACGCACACCCTATTGCTATTGCTGGGGGAAATAGTGGGTTTTCTGGAAAAAGAATTATATATAGAGCTGGTGAGATGTATCCGAGGTGAATTCCTAGACGCAAACGAGATCTTTCTTGTTTGATACTGTCAAGTCCCCCACTACCCACTTTAATGTTAAAAATTAGCTCAAAACTAGAGGAAAATGAGTCCATGATAACACTTTTTTTACTTGAAAGGTTTATGTAAGTTTAAAGTCATTGCATATTGAGATTCAAGATCCAAAAAGGCATTTTCTTTTTTAAAAGCTCGTTCTCTCCTTTTTCTGGGTGTGTGATCTCTTCTCTCTTTGTTTTGTTCATTTCTTGGCAGTAGCAGAATTGCCTGAAATTTAGACTCTGCATTTTCAACCGCAACCCGGAATAGTTGCATTGCCTACTTCAATCACCACCATAACCACCACTATCACTAATTTTTGAATCCTTTCATTTTGGGGACTCATCAATCGGGTTTTATCGCTTTTTGCTTATTATTATGTCTAAAGAAAATTTGAATCTAGATGTGCCGAAAGAAAAAGGAAGGAAAAGTTGATTAAATCTCAAGATGGAGCACATGATAAGTTTTTTAGTTGTAGTAAACGAACACCTAGCGAAGACGTAGTTACTGAAGAAGTGTTTAATGAGAATGCTAACAAAAATAATACAATTGAGGAAGAAATGATACCAAAAATAATACAATTGAGGAA